CGTGCTACTCTGGTATGACCTCATCTTAACTCACTACGCCTGCTGTGACCCTATTTCCAAAGAAGGTCCCATTCTGAGGTACTGGGTGCTAGGACTTCGACTATCTTTTGGAGGCAGGGAAACACAATTCAATGTGTATAATAAATCATATGACTTTTCTTCTTAGCACTATTAATATGATGGATAATATTGGTGGATTTTTTTGTTATTTAATGATGCTTGTTCATGCTATGATAGGAACAAATTGCATTTAGCCATAATATCTTCTTCTTTAAATGGACTGTTGGATTTCAGCTGTTGATATCAAGATTTTGAACCCCACTCAGCAGTGAGAGTATTCTGTTGTTTTTCTTTTGGTGCTCTTTCAATTTTAAGATCAATATCATAATGGCTTTAATAACAGGAATTTTGAAAAATTCTTTCTTCTAGAATAAGTAGCACTGAGGTTATCCATTCCTTAAAGGTTGGGTAGAATTTCCCTGTGAAACCATCTAGGCTAAGTGCTTTTATGGGGGAGAATTTGAACCCCTTTATCTTGGTCTGTGATAATTGCTCTCTTAGACATTCTTTACTGGGGCCAATTTTAGGTAAGTTGTTTCTTTCTAAAAAACTAACTATTTCATCTGCATTTTCAGATCTATTTGCACAGGGGCATGGGAAGTACCCTCTAAACACTTTTAAAATTTCCTCTGCTTTTGATGATTATTTTTCCTTAGCATTTCTAATTTTAAGCTTTCATCTTTTTTCCCTTTTATTCTTTCTTCGCCATACTAGTGGTTTTTTGATTTTGTTAATTTTTTTCCATAGACTGTTTTTGGATTTATTTATCAGTTTCATTGTTTTTCTCTTTCCTAACTTAATAATTTCTGCTTTCAATTGTCTTTCAGTTGTCTTTAAGGTGTCTATGACTGGCAGATTCGTAAGGTAATTCTGATCACAGATTTGAGAATTATAACTGTAGCACATGCAGTGTTTTACTAGAAATTAGTCTTCTGATGCCCTAGGTCTTCCATTATACCATTGTTATCATGTCATAGCACATTTTTTTGTGTGTACGTGCATCTTATTTTGGCAATAGATGGAAGCTCTTTGAGGCCAAGGCTATGTGTCATTTTTGGGGGGGGGCAATAAATATTGATATTGTAAAGATGAAGTTAGAAAGTTAATGTAGGTGTGAGAACCTGTAGTAAGCACCTTCCAAAATGGCTCCTGGTAATCCCTACATCCTACTGTCCACACTCTTGTCTCATTCCCTCTCCCTTTGAATGTGGGCTGGACTTACGGACTGGCCTCTAATAAGTAGACTGTGACATAAGATACTGTGGTGTGACCTCCAGTATCAGATCATAAAAGATGACTCCGTTATCTTGCTCTGTCTCTGATTCTCCCTGTTCAATGAAGGAAGCTGCTGGGTTATGAGCTGTCCTATGGAGAGACCCGTATGGCAAGGAAGAAAGGGTGGCCTCTGGCCAATGACCCACAAAGAATGGAAATCTACCAACCACCACTTATGTGATTTTGGAAGCTGATCTACCTTCAGCTGAGCCTTGAGATGACTGCAACTTTGTGAAGAACCCAGAGCCAGAGGACCCAGTTAAGATGTTTCTGGATTCCTGACCCATAGATACTTCAAGATAATAAACGCTGCTATTTTAAGCCACTATTTGTGGGATAATTTGTTTTGCAGCAATAGGTAACCAATACAGAATCCCAACCCTGGATATTTGTTTTAATCTAGGAAATATTGTCAAGTTGAAAACTGAATGGTTTGGTTGAAATCTGGAAGTGACCTTCTCTGTAGAGAGAGAACTCTAAATCAGAATTTAAAATGCAATAATGCAATTAATACCAAAGCTTTTCATTTAAAAAGCATTTTGACATCAATTTGTTTTAATTTCCTCATTTTTAATTTTTAAATTTTTTTTTAAATTTCATTTTATTTTTTCAGTGCTCCAAGATTCATTCTTTATACACCACACCCAGTGCTCCAAGCAGTTTGTGTCCTCCTTAATATCCACCACCAGGCTCACCTATAATTTCTTCATTTTGATTCAACAAAGATATGAAAGGTTTCCCTTTGACTTTACTTATTTTTAGCACTTTCTTTTTAAAAAGTTGTATCTGCACATGCATATTTAGAATGTGTCAAATTAAAGACAGACTGCCTAGATAAAATTGGGCAGATGATGGGTTGAATTATAACATAGATTTATATCTTAAAACATTTAAACCAACATTGGTTTGATTTTCATAACTGATGTCTGCCAAAAATCTGTCCTCCCTGCTTTCATAGAAATGTAGTTGAATCTGGACATAGGCTGCCCTGCTAGAGATGACATTTCCAAGTCTGTCTTGGGACATGTGACTTTGTTCTTACTGATGGAACACAGGCAGCTGCTCAGGATACTCACGGATTTCAGATGTGCCCATAACCCAGCTTCAATCATGCAGAAGAGGAGAGTGGCCTTGGGCTTGGTTGCAGGGTGGGAGGGGGGGTGGGGGAGGATAGGGAAGGGTGATAGTCAAGATGAAAAGAATCTGAGTTACAAGATGAAAAGAATCTGTGCACTTTCATGGAGCAGAGCCTCCCACTAACCCAGACTTCTCACCTTGGAACTCTTATATGAAAAGGAAATAAAAAGCTGTGCTCTTCAAGCCTAGATTTTGGGGTCTCTTTGTTGCAGCAGCTTAATGAATACATCCATCGCTGTCCCTTTAAAATATGTCACTTAGTAATTATTATATATGCACAATTAGCCAAAGTGCTAATACCTGGATTTCTGCCCGGGGGATGGGGGCGGAGGGACCAGCAAAATCTATTCCTCCCAGGCATGACTCATGTTAAACTGTCCAAACAACTACAACTACAGGTGATTTTTCCTGCATCAATGTCATTTATTTATATGCATGACTTCAGGCTTGTAACTTCTGTAACTTCTCCACTAAATGTTAGGCTAGAGCAGTCCTTCAGCCTAGCACTTCTCGAGGACATTGATTTTTGTTAGATGGGATGTTCAGAACATCAGCCTATGCCCTAAAAGAGAGGATCTGGGGAAGCCTACAGACCACTGCCAGATGTCCCTGGCTTTTCAGTCTCACTCAAATTGTTCAGAGCCAAATCCTCCTGAAGATTCATTCCTGAATTGAATGGCTCTTGAACAATACAGAAGGCTACGGCTATCTCACCATGTTGCCTTATAGAGCTTACTTAAAGATTTTTCACAATAGCCTTATAAGATAAGAAGTGAAGATTATTATTATTTGATCACACAAAAAAACCAAGGCACACAGTGGCATCACAAGTCACAGGAAGCTGGAACCATTACTTGGTCCTCCAAGGAGACAAAGTACATTATCTGAATGCACAATTCTTTGGTCTTACGTTAAGCCATGCTCGCTTTGCTTCTTCTGTCTAATTGAAAGAAAGGAAAACTGAAGCATGAAATTTCAGAGATACACCACTCAGGTGTCTTCATGGGAGAACCTATTTTATTCGCACATAAAAACAACGGGTCCTGCACTAGTCCAACTTTAGCTTTTAAAAACTAAAGGATAGGGTTTGGTCCCAGGGGCTGTAAATGACAGCAATGTGGGGGAGAGAAGCCTTCTGCCTCCAGGACAGGATATCGCCATGTGTCACACATCTGGGTTGTGACAGTAGCCCTGTGCTGCTCCTGTAAACTAAGTATCTCGCAAGTGTCATTGCTTTGTCACCTTGATCTTGCTCTCCATCAGGACTGGGAAGGAGAACAGAAACTAAGGCATGAGGGAGACCAAATCATCCTTGAAAGCTACATCCCAAAGACATCCTGATCCAAAAGGACAATTGGATAAACAGGAAAGTGGCAGGTGTTTTTTGATAGTCATTTGTGCAACCAAATACTCAGTAGGCTTTGCGTGGACTGCCAATAGCACACAGCCTATGGCTGTCAACTGAGGACAGGACTAGGATTGCACTTCTGTTGCAGGCTGAGCAGCTCAGCCTAATTTGACTGTACCTCTCACTCCTTGTCAGGAAGTGCAGAGGCCCTCGTGGGAGAATCGCAGTTTCCTTGGCTCCTCTTCTGCTGAGATCCTTAAAGCAGGCAAGGGTGCGGTGAGATGTCCAATCCTCCTCCCCGCCCTTCACCTGGTTCGCTTGGGGCCTAAAGGTCGTGAACGATCTTGTGTCTCTTCAGTGCCCTTTCCTAATTAGAGGCAGAGCAGACAAAAAGTAGAAGGGAGGGGTAGCATCATCTTTCCCAATGCAGAATACTGAGAAAGAGTAGCGTTTCCTCCACACCCGTCTAAAAAGTATTCACCAATTGCCCAATCACGAGAGCAAGCACCAAGGACTCAGGATGATTCAGGGCATACTTTCAACCTCCTCAGTTCTTGAGCAAGGTCGAGGAGGTCGGGCTTCCGGGGAGACGTTGCATCACAGTTTGGAAAAAACTTGGGAATCTTTCTTAGAGGACTCATTCTTCCAGGAAGCGGGCAAAGAAAGAGCGGAGTAGACGCCAGGGTGCCGGAAGCTGCAAAGAAATCCGACCTCACCTTGGGCTCAAGAGTGAAAGTGGGGTCACTCCAGGACCAGCCCGCGCATGGCAGGAAGGACTCCCGCAGGTCTCCGCGTGCTCGGCCGCTCCCCATTAGGTGGCACTTCTGCGCCAGCCCGAAGGGACCAGGGGCGCGGTGACACAAAGAGAGGCGCGGTTTAGACACCTGTGCGCCTCCGCCCAGTTGCGAGCCGGCGGGACGCCAGGGACCGCCCGAGCCCTTCCGAGCCCGCGGGGAGGGCAAGGAGCGCGGACGTGCCCCGCGCAAGGTGGAGGCGGCTACCTGGGCGCCCGCGCGCTCGGGGCGGCGCTAGGACCAGAGCGGCGCACCTGTTGGCTGGCGCCCCGGGCCCCGCCCGCCCTCCGCCCCGAGTGCCCGGCCCGCCGAGTGCCCGAGCGGCGGGGACAGTGCGAGCCGAGGGTATCGGCGTGGCGGTGTTGGCGCGCGGCCCCGGGAGCACTATGGCCGAGCTGCTGCGGAGCCTTCAGGATTCCCAGCTCGTCGCCCGCTTCCAGCGCCGCTGCGGGCTCTTCCCGGCGCCGGATGAAGGCCCCCGCGAGAACGGCGCGGGCCCCGCGGAGGGCGCGCCGCGGACGCCGGGGCTCGGGCAGCTCCCTGCGGCCAACGGCAAGGGCGGCGGGGGGCCGGCCAACGGGCTGCGGAGAGTCGCGGCCCCGCAGGTAACCGCGGCCAGGTGTTCGCCGGGGGTGGGGGAGGGGACAGCCCGCGCCGCAGCCCGCGGACTTGAGGGTCCCGCGGACTCCGCTACGCGGGGACCGGCGAGCGCCATCCCCGGCGGCGACCCGGCTGCGGGCGCCGGGTATGGAGGGGAGTGGGGGCGGGGAGTCCAGTCACCAGGATGCCATCCCTTAGGCTGCCAAGTAGCACCCACGTCCGTTCAGACATCAGATGCACCAGGAGCTTTAGACACAGTCTAAAGACTTTCTCCTTTCATGAGTGAAATTTATGTTGCTGAGCTTTCTCCCAAATGTGTAAGAGTTACGTAATTGAAAAGGGCGGGGGGCATGTCCTTGGCTAGAGGCGTTTTCGCTAGAGGCGTCTCTGGGGAGAAATTCTGAGGACTCCCGCAGGATTCCCGAGTTTCCGCCCCATCCCCGCCCCCCCTCCCCGCCTGATCCGCACTCAAGGGGTGTAGCAGGGCTCGCTGTGCCCTTCACTGTCCCGCATTTCCAGCTCTAAGGACAGAACTTAAGGTTTCAGTTGCGCCTGGAGAGATCTACAAACCGCACTCCTACCCGCACCGGGGCGAAAACCCCATCCCCTTCCTGCCGAGTGGGTCTCTTGTGACTGGCACCAGGGACTTTGAACAGATGCTGTGGAGAGAGAAGCTCATCGCGCTCCCCTCCAGGCTTTCAGAGTGTGCTTATACAACCCACTGCGGCTTTGGGGAGCCGGCGTGTGTTGTCATCGCGGTGCACAGAGACTCAAAGCAGGAGGGACCGAACAGGCTGCAGATGCTAGTGGGCCAGGGCTGCTGGCCTCCCCAGCGGGGGGAAGGCTGCCCGAATCGGCCCTGCCACCCGCAGAAGCTGCCCTCGCCCTGGGAGAGCTCACAGTGTGGCACTGGAGGAAGGAAGCAATGTATTGACGATTCCCACTCCTTGTGTTGGGGGCGGGAGTTGGGGAGGGATGAATTTACGTGTAGCTTTCCAGATCTCCTAAATGAGGAATGATGGAGACCTGGCTTCAGTGTGGGATGGCATATTGCGGGTATTGAATCAGAAAATTTATTTGAGAGAGTGAGGGTGGGGTGTGTGCTCCACTCCAGAGAAATCCTCTATAATGTTCTTTTTTTTTTTTTTCAATTGTTCCTTCTCTGTCCCATATGACATCTAGTAACTTTTAGATGAGTTTGAGACCTGCCCCCACCCCTCCCGCTTTCCTCTTGCCTTGTCTTAAAAATGGGACAGAGTGAGGAGCTAAGAACCAGTCACATACCTGAAATGTGGCAGGGCGTCTTCTGTGCCCACACGTACATACCGTTTAACACACAGGGAGGGGCCCCAGCGGCTTTCTGATGCTCTCTCCCCACATTTCCCCTCTGTTTCTCCAATTCCGGAAGCTAAGCAGGGTGCATTTTCCCTCGAATGCTTTTCCAACTGTTTAAACATTACCTCAATTCTGGAAAAGGATCCTCCTGCCCTTTAAAAGCAAGATAAACAGATGTCTTGCAGAGAGGTGACCTCTACCTGCTTAAAAAGCCTGTGCCCCCAGCCACATAGCAGGGATCTCGCTCTTCCCGTCCAATACACAACCTTTCTCACCATAGTCGGTGAAATACTGAGAGGAAGCTCAAGATTCACGGTGAGAAGTCATTGTATTGGTGTATGATGGGGGGAAAATAGCTCAGAAGAGCATTTGATACACGAGAGGTTAGTGAATGTTTTTATTTTTATTTTTATTTTTTTTATTTTTAAAGATCTTATTTACTTATTTGACAGACAGGATCACAGGTAGGCAGAAAGGCAGGCAGAGAGAGAGGAAGGGAAGCAGGTCCCCACTGAGCAGAGAGCCCGATGCGGGGGCTGGATCCCAGAATCCTGGGATTACGACCTGAGCCAAAGGCAGAGGCTTTAACCCACTGAGCCACCCAGGCGCCCCTAGTGAATGTTTTTAAAGGTGGGTCTTTTTTAAAGCTGTTTTCAGGTGACTTGGGGAGATTAATATTTTGCAAATATAGAGAGGGTTCAATAGGAAAAGATTGCATACCTGTCCTAGATCCTTAATAGGACTCTAAGGGGACAATTGGAAAACTTCTCTCCAACAAGCTATTCTTCCCTGTGGCCTTTGGCCTCTGCCCAACCTGTGGCAGGCCTGAGCTGCCTCTCCTTTCTCCAAATAACCCCACTCATCCTTCAGTTTCAAAGGTCAGTTCTTCAAGAGACTCTTTTGCTCACCTTTGAGTCTCACTCCGCATTTTAGAGGTTCTCTTTGTTTCTGGTGATTCTTCATTACAGCATTTATCACATTATGTAAATATGCCTTTGAGGGGGGTGGTACCTGATTATCGTCAGTTTTCTCCAGTGGGTGAAAAGCTCTGAGAATGCAGGAAACTTGCCTGGTGTGCTCATTATTTTCTTCACATGGGAGCTTGGTGAATTTTGGGAATAAATGAGTGCAGACTATAATATAAAATCTGCCCTATAAAAGCAAGATAAGCAGATTTCTTGCAAAGACTCATCTTGCTGCTTCAGCAAGCAGCATGGTAGGGGTTTCCCCCTTCCCATCCCAAACATGACTTCACTCACTATAGATCATGAAAAAGTAAGAGAGTGCTAAAAATTCAAAATAAGAGATTAAAGATTTTTTAAAATTGAAGAGTGACTATGGAAAATCAAGTGTTTTCCGCATAGCCTAGAAATCAGGAAGCACATGGACACTGCTTTAAGACCCTCCTAACAGTAGAGAAATGTTTTCTTCATTTGGGTGACTTCAGAATGCAACATACCTAATTTTTCTCACCTTGCACATTTGCTGTATTTATTTTAATCCTTAAAACAGGCCAAATGCAGAAATGATTAACGACTTCCGGGACACCACGCCCTGCTAAGTTAAAGATTAACTACATCCTTCACAAACCCGGGCTGGGCAGGGATTGCACAAAACTGTCGTTGAAGAAGCCGGAGTGGACCTCAGAGACTGCTCAGTAGTCATGCCTTTCACAGACAGCTCTGAGTCCTGAAGGGTTAAAGGCTTTGTTGAGGACTTCCCAGACTTTCACACAAGCAGGTCTTTTGATGCTCAGGTCTAAACTGCTCTCTTCTGTGCACCTTCCAGGGTTTCATTTTATCTGTCTCACTGAGAAGGTGTGAGGTGTTGGGGCTGGCTGGGAGCTGGGCAGAATTTGGGTGGAAAGGGAGCATGTTGCTTTCAGAGTGCAAGGATAACTGGTTTGCAAGAGTAACCATAGGAGGACATTCCTGGCAGTAGCCAAGATCAAGAGGCAGGGATCCTGGGACCAAGGAGGAGGGCAAAGTTCTGGTTAGAATAGTGTTTATTTGTTCTGGGGTAAATCCAGCCTCGGATAGAATGGTATTTTGATTTTTATCATCTTTGCTTACTCAACATAGTTGCATTAAGACAGACTTTGCAGAGCCTTTCCCTATCATTACGTTAGACTAGAGTGATCTTTCCAAATTGTACTGTGTTCCATAAATACCTTTTGATAACTATTTTTTCAGGCATAGTTCTACAGATGGGTTGAGGTATTTAGAGAAGTCCTTGCATCCCTATTTTGAAATATTTGGGGACCCCCAGGTCTGTCAATCTACAAAAAGCCACCCTTCTTTTGTTGGTTTGCTCCAGTAAAAAGAGCCATCTTTGCAATCGGGAGACCTAGATCTGGCTCCACCTTCATGTCACCTTGAAATTCTCTGGGTCTCATCTGTAGAATGGGCAGAGTGGAATAGAACCATGGGTTTCCACCTGCGGCTGCACAATATAGTCAGTTAGAGGAACTTTGAAAACACAACAAACCAGTGTCCAGGGTCCAGGTGAGAAGTGGGGTCTGGAGAAACGGCAGACAGAGGTGGGAAGCTCCCTTCTCCTGGGACCCACCACACTTAGTGTGTTCAGGATGAGAATGGTGGTACTGGAGGCAGCGGTCATGGCCACTGGGACATTTTGGCTCATGACTCCACTGGCCAACGGGCTGAACTTCAAGTTTTGATTTTCTTTGATGTTCAGGTTTGCAATGGTAAAATAAGCCACTTTGAAAAGGTACCTTTGATCTTTTTTTTTTTTTTTCTAGTTACAGATATTGTTCAGATGAGAAAACTTGGAAAAAGACAAACAAAAAATTAAATTCATGGCCATTATACCACTGCCCAAAGGTAATCATGCAGTAAATGTTCAATCTGATTTTTAGGGGCTGTATGCTACTCTATAGCATAGATAAACTATAATCTAGTTGGCCTATTGCTGGGCTTTTAGGTTTTTTCCAGTTTTTGCATTAAAAATAACATCTTTATATAAGTATCTTTCCATATATCTTGATTGTCTCTTTTAATTGAGATGTAATTAACACATAATATTGTATTAGTTATTGGTGTACAACATAATGATTCAATATTTGTAAATACTGTATTATGAAATGATCACAGTAAGTCTAGTTAATATCCATCACCACCCATAATTACAGTTTTTCCTTCTTGTGATGAGAACTTTTTTGTTAAAAGATTTTACTTATTTATTTTAAAGAATGAGAGAGAGAGAGAGAGTGTGTGTGTGCACGCAACCCAGGGGAGGGACCGAGGGGGAGAGGGAGGGAGAGTATCTCAAGCAGACTCCGAGCTGAGCATGGAGCCCTTCAAGGAGCTCGATCTCAAGACCCTGAAGTCGTGACCTGGGCCAAAACCAAGAGTCAGGTGCTTAGCCACCTGAGCCACCCAGGCACCCCATGATGAGAACTTTTAAGATCTACCCTCTTAGCAACTTTCAAATATACATTATTAACTGTAGTTGCCATGCCGTATGTTACACCCACATGACTTATTTATTTTGTAACTTTACGAGTGTATTTTGTCACCACCTTTACCCATTTCACCAACTCCCGCCCCCAGCGCCTCGGGCAACCACCAATCTCTTCTCTTCATCTATGAGTGCAGGTTTTTTGTTTGTTTTATATTCCACATATACATGAGATCATACCGTATTTGTT